ACACACACACACACACACACACACACACACACACACACACACACACAGTATGCTGTGTACAGACAGTGGAATGGGATGGGCACAGAGAGCCCACTGCAGCAGGGAGTATAGAAGACTGCATTAGCATTCCCCATTTAGCCACTATGAGGCCGTTTCTGTGGCAACCTGCTGCCGAGCGGTAACTAGGCGACAGGAACATGGCTGTGTGTGTATGGTCTGTCTGCGTGCTATTGGCTTATTGATGAAGGGGAGGGGAAGGACTCCATATTCCAGCAAAAAAAAAAAAATTGGAGAGAGAAAGGCAAACAATGGAAACAAATTGAGTCCATAAATCTTCTTTGCTGTGCTTTTGTGTACTTGACCTACTCTCTCTTCTCAGTGTTGACACCGGAGGTGGGGACCTAATGACTCTAAGTGGGGAGCCAGCACAGCACGACCTGGTGACATTTGCGCTTTACGGTATCTTGGCAGTCACGGCTCAGGGCTCCATGGGGAGATAATGTCACAGTCAGACCTCCTATAAGCCGTTGTAAAAGAGGTCAAGTAACTGCTATCATTGGACAGAAAAACATAATGTCACTGGCTGGTAAATTAGTGCTCTCAGTGACAACATGCTGCACCCTGAATAATGCACTTGGGAGGACAACACTGAGGTCTCTGCGTGAGCTGTAGACTGTCTACGCGAGCCTACTGTCAGATCAGCCGATCGCTCGCTTATCAAGCAGGAAAAAAAAACGCTCGGAGCGTTTGCAGCGCTTCTTCCTATGTCTGATCCATCTTCACCTATCCACATGGTGACTTGTGGAAATAGGTGAGGTGAAAAATATGTGAGCCTATTCAAGGCAGAGTGCTTGTGTCAGGAGGCAAGTCAGAGGGTTGAGATAGGTCACAGCACCACAACCTGACTTTGTACAAGGCTATGCGCTCCCTCTCCCTCTGGCTGATAAGGGGGGAGAGAGACATAGACCGTGAGATGGAGAGAGAGAGAGAGAGAGAGAGAGAGAGAGAGAGAGAGAGAGAGAGAGGGGATAGTTAGCGGTAGGCTGACATGTCTTTGTTCAGACCCAGTGCTGCAGTGTGCTGCAGTGCAGATGATGTCATCTCCACCTGCTGCCTGCTGCTCCAAATGCGATGCACGTCCACTGCAGAGGGAGGATGGGGGTAGAGACGAGTGGGAGGGGAGAGGGAGGAGACATGGAAGGTGGGCAGCCAAACAGAACCATAACAACACTGTGACGTGGTTAACGCCCTCCCACTCTCCGGTTTACTCCCTTGTGACAACGCGTGGCAGCAGACGTGGTCACTCTCACACATTTAGGGCAAACTGTGACAAGCTAATTTAAACAAAAAAAAGAGTTGGGTGCAAAACTGGGGAAGACTATCACTCATTATATTGACAACTACTTGAATGCAAGTTGATCAGTCAGCGGAGGTGTAAACTTACAGAAATATGCCTTCCGAAGCGAAGCAAAGTTTCTGCAAATGAGTCCAGTTCACTCGCTTGTGGATATTTATAATACATCTCTTCCCCTTGCTTTTGGAGATGTATTCCCCTGCAGGACTTGGACCCTTGCCAACTGTCATCATCCAAATTGATATGGAAAATACAAAAGGAGAGAGGACACATAACATGTAGCCATTCACATTCCTAAATGAAAAAACCCACTCATTTTATTGCTCCATCAATTCTCCCACTTTTATCTACCTGAACTCATATCTACTGTGGGTTATACTGTGGAGTGTTAAGTGTTATCCAGTGAGAGTTACTTTAATGATGACCTCTAAGAGACTCAATAATTAGAGTTTTTTTGAAATTACAGTGAGTACGCTGCAAAATGACGAGCGGAATTGTCTTCCCTTAGAAGTGAGAGGAACACCTCTCACCTTTGGGACGAAAGCCTGGAGAGGATGGGAAAACACCTCAGTCTTGGTCTTATGATAGGGTGACACTTGCATTGACTAATACGGAAACATTATGATTCTAGAATCTGAAAAAAAAACACCCACTTCGTGACAAGAGGTCTTGAACTTTCATGACCGATAACCCAAATGAGTAAATGTGTCGCTTGCCTTGGGACGGACGCTCATTTGAATAAATTGCTCGTGTTTTCATCATGAACCCACCAGACACTGGTCTGTGACTTGGTCCTGTCATACAGATTAAGAAGCTAGGCTAAATGGGGAAAGTCACATGTCATGTAGTCAGCTCTGCTTAAAATCCAGATCATAAGTATACTGTCTGCATAATTAATCTAGCACCTGATCGCTGTAGATCTCCTGTTGATTCTCTCAAAGGACACTCCTGTCCTCTGAGAGAGGTATAGAGCAGAGGACCCCTGCATGGGGTTTCAACCCACCCTTCCCCAGATGATCAGATGTTTCATCTCTGGGACATCGCAGCAGCTCCCCATGAGAATGGTTGACATACAGACAGATGGGGGAAGGAAGGACAGGGCTGTTTATTGAGGAGCACAGTGGGAGTGAGATCAGCCTAAAGGAAGGAAGAAGACAGCAGGAGAGATTACAGGTAAAGAAAGAACAAGGGTGAACCAAGATGAGAAGACAGGAGTGGGGCTATCCATATAGTGAACTTCTAATAGAGTGTGGGAGGACATCTTTAATCCTCACTTCTAAACCTCTGCTCATGGTCGTGCCAATCAAGTTTAGTGCTGGACCTCATTGTCGCCCTGCAGCCAGTCAGCTTCTTGCATGTAACCCAGCAGAAAGGCCTGGAGGCCAGCCTCCCTCTTGTTCTCTGTGTCAGCTGACTGACAGGGGCTGGTATTTGTGATCGTGCAGGGTAAGGGGCCAGGCCATCTGGAAGCAGCCCTCGCAGCTGGAACACATGGCTGTCTGCTGATCAAAGGCTGCCTTTACGTTCCCACAGCGTAATGAGTGGTTGTGGTATTCCATCTATTACGTCTTTTTCCTTTTGTTTTCTTCTTGTTAGCAGAGCGATTGTTCAAAGAATAATACTGTGTGCAATACAGACATCTTTCTTTTCTACAATCTGTTGTTATGGCATCAAATCAATCTATCCATCCATCTGCTATCCATCAATCTATCCATCCATCGGCTTATCCTGTTCAGGGTCATGGGGAGGAGGTGAGAGGCAGGTCGTCAATCCACAAATTCATTCACATTCACACCAAGATAGAAAACACCATGACAGATTCATACTGTACAGAAGTAGTTTAGATTTTTGCCATTCCAGTTTGCTGTTTCCTCTCTGTTTGGTGATTGTCCATGTTTTGTATGCCCTGTCCCTCAAGCCAAAATCAGTTGCCAGTGGGCTAATGTTCTTTGAGCCTGTCTTCCATACAACATTTCGCAACCTGTTCACAACAGCAGAAATCCTTCACACACAAGGCAATCACCTTTGATGTCAACATTTGGAAGTTAAGCCAGTAAGATGCCTGCCTCTCAGGACTTCTTCTCTTGCAATGTATCACCAAATTACACCAGCAACAGGTGGAACACATTGCAACATTCTGAGGCGTTATGTCCGATCTGACAAACTGTCTCACCACTGTTTCCACAGAGAATTTATTCACGACCATATACAGCAGTTTAATGACCACAAACAAAGGTCGCAATGCTTGAACGATACTTTTCTATCCTGCCATAAAGGTGAAGCAGCTCTTAACCTACTGGCATTTGTCCAGCTATATAGGTCAATATGAGTTTAGTCTGAACACTGAGTAGATACATTGTGTCATATTGAAGGGTAAAATGCCAAGAGTGCACACCGTAGGGATTTACCGTCATCCACTATCACACTAATAGAGTAACACAGTATTGGCTTTTTGTCTCGGAAAGTAGGGAAGTTTGACTTTTTTATAGATTGACGATGCAGCAACACGGGCATATCTTTAGATACCTATTTGCATAAACAACTAGATACTGCTTGACACATCGGATTCAGGCAGGAGTGCAAATGAGAGACGAGTGGAGAAATACTTCCAAAGATGAATCAATCTGATATAAAACACCACAACCCAAGGGACAGGACGTCTCCAAAGCTTTCCATTAATAGTAAGACAACCACAGTCAGGCTAAATGCATTCACAGGATTTCTCAGCCTGCCTCCAAATCTTTTTCAACATTGAATTTAAAATCATATTCCAGCCTTTTGTCACATACTGGGATCCTATCGATGGCATGTTGTACTGTAGCAACAAATGTAATCTAGTGAGGACAGACACTGAACAGCGATAGAGAATTGAGATTTAGAGCCAGTTTATCTTGAATGGGATATAATGCTTGCTTGGTTTGAGACCCTGTCTATAACCTCCTCTATTCTTATTTGGTTTTATGACAACTCAGAGGGGTGCAACTTCACAGCATGAACAGGGACTGAACCTGAATTTAATAAGCACATTAGCAAGTAAAAAACAAAACTTACAACATAACATAAAAGAAGCCCTTTCCCCGGATTATAGATATTAATATACCGTTCAATTAGCTAAGAATACAAACAAAATTCATTATCCCTTTGTGCTAAATAGGCAGACTGGAGTCTGTTGGCACAGAGGTGGACAATATAATGTATATTTCAAATCCCAGCACAGACAGCATAAAGCAATGTAGTCGACTGCAAACCATGCTATTGCTTTAAAACTTAGCAAAGGCTTTAGTGGACACCTATTTGACAGTCCCATCACAAACTACACGTGATACTGTAAGCTTGGCGAAGGTAGACTTCAATGCATGGTTATTATATTTAATGGCATTAGACACGATGTAGCATCACTGTGAGAAGAAAGCTATCACATAATAATAGTCAACAATAAAAGTCAGAGAAGATGTGCTCTCCACAAATGACTGTTTCTCTTTAAACGTATCTCTTTAAAAGCTCTCGTCTGCGGTGATTCATCACCTTTACGTGCAAGCATTCCCACATCACTGCTGCTGTTACTAGTACTACTACTATTGCTATTTCTCCTGCTATTACTACAACGGCAACAGTAACACAAAATTACATTAACTAATAATACTGTTGTTATTTTTTCTAGGTATTTTTAGATAGATCGGTAGCTAGATAGTCAAGTCTTTAACGTCCCAGGAGGGAAATCTGTTTTCACAGCCTGCACATGTTAATGCCCCCATGAGAAATGCAATGCACACAGTTGATATAATGGTCATCTATACACATATACATACATGCCCCTACATGCATACAAACATACTTGCATACACAATACTTGCAAATACATATGTATTAGGGCTGGGCGATAATTCAATATGATAATCATCACATATCGAGATATGTTGATACACTATGATGTCATCTCAATTGATATCAACAAGCGCATACTAACTCAACTTTCCTTGAAAATGTGATCAAACTCTGTTAAATCGAACTATCGTCTTAATCTGATTAGTCTGTTTTTGTCAGTGCACAGCTGTAAATATTTAAGTATTTTTTCTCTTTAATTTAACTTAAAACGGTTATGTTCATTTTGCACTTACGGTCTTAATAAAGTGAGAAATACTCAGTGCATTTTATATGCCAAAAATATGACTATTTATTTATTGAATAACAATGAATCATACTATATCAAGATGCACATTGTCATCAAGATATGATGATATGGTGATATGATGATAGATTTTGGCCATATCGCCCAGCCCTTTGTATATATATATATATATATATATATATATACACACACACACACACACACACACACACACACACACACACACACACACACACACAGGTCTGTACAGTTGAGGTATTTTATTTGGGGTTATGGCATAAAGGGGGGAAAATTCCTGCTAAACACTAGTAGAACTAATAAATGGTTTTGTGCAGTGGAACCAGGATAGGAATTGTTCTTACTGCTGCCGATTATAGTGAACCACATTGCATTAAAGTGGCCAAAACATAGATTACTACAATAAATGCATATGATCTATGCACAACATAGAAAAAAGCACTGTGGTGATTCATCCAACTTCTTCAAAACATATTGTACATGACTTTACAACTTTGGTCTGTTGTATTCTGTCTTTCACAGTTCTCTTAAGAGGCTACACTATGGGCAATGCATATTGTTCCACGCATTGAATAAAGGAAAACTTCACAGGAAAGCAACAGGTAGATGAATGTATATCTGCAATTCTCTCGCTGTAAATAGTGAAGGAAAAGCACTGAGCCAAAGCAAACTTTGAAGACTAAACGGGGTTAAAGTGAAGTCGCTGTTCAGAGATCTGTGGTGCTGAAACGCTCAGCGGCTGCACTCACGACGGAAGTGTTCGCTGTAGCAACGTGTGGTTTTAATTTCGCCCTATTTTAGCTGTTTGTTACTCAACGCTGTTGGTAATATGCAGCCTTGACATAATAATCCGAACTATGAAACAACAGCATAAATAGATTTTTTTTTTTACCGACGACTCGCTGTCCCCGATATCCTGAGCTGCACTCAGGGATGCGACAGCCCTCTAATGCGCTATAGCAACCGCCACACTTTCAACAACACGTGAAACAGCACTTGCAGCTGGCAGTAAGGACACCAGCCGGAGACACGGTGTCCATGTAGTTCAGCATAGCGAACAGACTGAAACTGGCAAGAAAGAATCCGGAATCTTTGAAATGTGAGAGGCAGGTTTTGCCAAAAGTACCTGACTTGGAGAAAAAAAACAAACAGGCGCACGAGAGCTTTAAGTAAAACTTCCTTTGTTATTCAAAATGCCAGGAAAACAAATACTGATTGTTGTCTCTGAAGGCGTCTTGAGGACTCTTTAATATGCCTGAGCACTAGTCGTGAGTTGGCTACTATCAACGTCAACTCTCCGGTGCTCTGCAATGAGGCAGAGTCACATGAAACACTTGAAGAAAGCATGTGGCACAAATAGACCATTCCTTCAAAACTCCGCTACAGCACAGACACAGTGGGACCACATTAAGACGCAGTAACTAAGCATGCGGGGTGTTCGGGGGGAAACAAAAACGTGTAACTTCAACTTCTTCTGGCATTCACGAGAACAGGCACAGGATGTGAAAACAACACAAACACAGCACAGCACAGCACTACAGCCATAGGTTGAACTTAACACTTCTAACCTTCTATCTTATTTTCCATTGGTAGAGTCCACCTCAAAAGCCAAAAGTACTGCCTCTTTTGTCTTTTAGGAAAAGCAGGTGTTATTCACAGGCATCCTGACCCAAAAAAGAAGTCCAGCCAAAGCTGCATTTCACTCAAATTGCAGTTTTGCCCCAAAGCCTGCCGGTCAGACTACTGCATGGTGTTACACGGAGAAACAATTAAAAAATATATATATCCTTGGTGTAGACTGAATCTCAATCTCAACAGAGGACTCGTCAACAATAGAACAAAGTGAGGGAAGAGAGCGACGTGAGGAGAGAGAGAGAGAGAGAGAGAGAGAGAGAGAGAGGAAGACCGCTCACTACTCTTCTTCCTCTAATAGCCCCCTCCTCCTCTTCACTTGTTTCACCTCACACACACATGCACACTTTCCTTGTGTTTCTAGTAGTCGCTGCTATCCCAGCCTGCAGTAAAATGACAAATACCGCTGAGACGTTGTGCGCACGTGCCGCCGGTAAACAGACGCCCTAGTTCCCGTTTGCCGCCTCCTCCTCGAGGTCCTGCTCCTAAACGCTCGCCCCTTATCGCATTATTATTATCATTCGTTATTTGGCATGTCATAAAAAACAACAATAATAACAATATCGAAGCATTGTCAATCAAAAAGATCTACTCTGCTCGACGCCTGTGGCTCTGAATTCGGTTGACTGTGCGCACGCAAGGAGTCTCTCTCGCACCGGAGAAAGTCGTTGAAAACACGACCGTGTTCGCCTTCTCGCAGCCTGGCGGCCGTCCGAAACTAAATCTTGTTCTGTTTTGCGGTCGTTTACCATGTTTACCCAAACACGCCCACTCCTCCGCTCCTGCATTGTGTGTGCACGGTCTGCTCGGTTTGTCACGCTGGTGTAGTTCAGCTCAGGAGTCAGTGCTGGCAATGCGCTCCCTTGAACGCTAACAGACAAGTTATGCCGCTATGCAGGGCTGCGACTTGGCAGCTCCCAGCGAAACCTCTCCCGGCTCGGGGTCGTGGGATCGGAGCTCGGGGACTTATTGGGGCGGGCGCAGAGTGCTCTGCAGCTCCGACAGCTTTTTTTTTTTTTTTCCTGTCCTGCCCATGGCTCCGTACCTGCAGTGCTGCAGAGGAAAAAGCGCCCCTTCCCCCACTCTGCATTATGACAAATCAAGGCAGGCAGGCAGGCAGCTGTACCATTAGCACATCATAGCAGAGCGAGTCTTCCGCGGGAGAACACAACTCGCAAAGCTTGCATGTAGCACACCGCTGCGGACTCGGACAATAATGCTGCACGTATATGGCACGCAGCCTATATTTAATCAAGTGACCGGCCGTAGAGGTTAAGTAGCGTGAGTGTGCACAGTCACGTTAACAGGAATCACAGGAGTGTGTCGAAAGTGTTGAAACTAACTGTCTGTCGCTATTCCGTTAGACGAGAAGCGCTGCTCGCCTCTCCTGTTGTGCTTCAACGCTGTGGACGTTAAAGATGTGATGACCGCACGTGCCCAAGTGATTACATCCCGCCCTACTTCTGAAACAAGTCATATAGTCTAGATGCCGCCGTGGAAATTTGATTTATCCGTGATTGCAAGGGGGTAAACAAGGGCCAACAGATCGCAGCGTTTACTTTTATTTTTTTAAGTTTAGAGTGAGCTCTGTGCCAGAGTCGCTGTCCACAGTGCGCTGGTCCCGAAGCTGCTGGTCACACATGCTTTAGCCACAAGCGTCCAATGGACCCCAGAGGAGCACTGGTTTATTCTAGTAACAATCTGTCAGGTGTGTGATTGGCACACGGAATCAGAGCAACAACATCAATTAGGCTTCCCTTCTTGTTGTGGCTCACATTCTGTCTCACACACACACACACAAATAAACTCACATGGTGCACATCAACTTTACATAATGTTACATAGTTTGTATACACAGGTATCGAACAAAGCACACACACACACATTTTATGTATATGTTGCATTCTGTTTAAGTATCACATAATCTCAGTGTTATGTGATTTTTGACTTGTTGTGTTGCTTTGACAATACTAGAAATGTATTTTCCTCAATGAAATGTCTCACTCTAGGGATAAATTGTTTATCAGTAGCTGGATGCAACGAAGAGAAATTAATCTGAAATCCAGCTAAACGTTACAAGTAAAAAAAATCCCAATGCAGTCGATGATCTTCATGGATACATGTCATTACCATCCTCAAATAGGGCACCACATACTGCCATGAAAACTAAATAGTGAGAGATGGCAGGAAAGGGGTTAATGTAAGTAAGGTAATAGGGTGGGCTGTGTTTTCCCTGAGACAGTCAGCTCCTCCTTAACTGGTTCTGTGAATGGGCCAGTGAGGCAGTAGGGTATGAATGGCGGAGGGATCCACTGGTACTGCTGTGCATGGGAGCCGCCAGCTCTCCATTACTCACTCCCACTCCCTCAAGGGCCGTCTGCAATGCAGCTGTCCTGTGAGCCTGTGCTTCGCCGTGCCCTACTTTATCCTGTCAATGCTCAAGCACTGCAGCAACGCTCCCCCAGCAGCACACACACACACACACACATATACAAACAGACTACTTACATACTCATTACGTTCTGGTGAACATGCGTACAGTAGGTCTTCTGACTCACAGACTTCATCTGCATTTTAACAGAATGGAAATTTGCCAACCCTGCAGCATTCGTTGTTATACAGTATGTAAAAGCCCTCTACGATGCTGATCTACAAAAACAATTTCAGCACAATTGACAAAGACCAATGTCCATATTTGTCATTGTGTTAAACACAATAACTTTCTGGCTGATTGTAACATAGGCAAGATGACACAATGAGGCGTTCTCTCACTGAGCTGACCTTAAAATGACACTTTAAATACAACATGTGGTATGTTTACCACATGTGAAAATGAAAAAGTCTCATTCAACACATCCCAAACACAACACAACAACAAAGTTAATTCTCAAATTAGATTATCTTGAGTAATACTAAGTGGGGCTGGGCGGTATGGTTAAAATCAAAAACACAATATTATTAAAAATATTTTTCAGATATTGATATATGTGATAGTCTTTAAGTGCAGATTGCTCAAATTCATTAATGTGGACAGCAGAATTATAATTGGGTAACTACTGTCCACTCCTATTACCAACAAACGGTGCCTTCCAATAACTGTGATAAGAAGGTACTGAAGGTTCTTACTCATTTATAAACACCCTCTACACATACTGTGTAGGAGCCAAATAAAGGATTTTTCCACCTTTATCATGTTCTGGCCCAGGACCAAAGAACCAGCATGCTTTATGGCGAGAAACACAAGATTTTACATTCAACTCATTATCTTCTTGTTATCTTTCTATCGCCCTGCCTGATGTGAGATGCAACATTAATTCCGACCAAAATTCAACCCAAGCTCAATATCAATGCAGCAGGAACATTTAACAACAACAACAAGCATACAGTGAGTGAGTAAAATTGCCTATTTCATTGCATAAAATACACAACATGCCTTTGCTATGTATTTAGATTAAAAAAAAAGATTTAGGTCACAGTTCATCTTTAGGCAATTTCATACGCATTTACAAATATCCTGCAGACTTGTTTGTCTCCAAGGGAAGCTAATGTGTGTGAATGTGTCAGCTGTGACAAATTGCTTTAAAGCATATCTAGAGAGAGGATTTGTAATGCATGATGGTCCAGCAGGTCATTAATAAAAATAAACAAAATCAATAAAGCCACATGAGGTTTGGAGAGCCAGATACAAGAATTAGGAGCAACATCAAGAAGTAAGGAGTAAAGAAAACAGAGAAATGAGAGAGGACGGATAGAAAGAGTCGGGGCAAAGGGACCAAAGCCAGCGTAAAACTGAGGAGAGACCTACCATCCAGCGAGAGCCAGTCGTGCTGAGATGATGGCAGTGATGGAAGAGCGCGGGCCTTGTACTCAAACACCACCGAGTTGGAGATGATCTGGCTACTTACTGCCACCTGCAGCGTCACCAGACCTGTGTCATGAGCTGGAGAGGAAGAGGATGATGAGAACTAATCACATAAAGTAAACACAATGTCACCATTAATTACGTGGTCAGTTTTGGCTGGTTCAATTTGCTATGTAAGACTATTGTCGGTACAAACAAAAATGATAATTTGATAATATGGCTTGAATCACATTGTTCTGTTGGATAGACCTACAGTAGCTTTTCATACAGGAACATCGAAATGTTGAGATTAATTTACCTGAGAAATCTATGTGTAAAAATCTTTAATGAATACACATAACTTCTTGCCGGCCTCATCACCTGTATATTGTCAACCTGCAGGCTATCACTTCAAACAAATAAATGAAAGGTAATGATAATGAATAATGTGATGGGGAAACTTCTTGATAAACGCCCCCTCTCTTCTCTGACGTGTCTTACCTGGGCAGTAGCAGCGCAGCACCCCTGGTTGGATGAGAGAGGCTGGGACTGAGATCTGGTCAAACAAGCAGCTGTAGTTTGAGCTGGCCTCCTGCCAGGGCCCAGTGATCAGCACCTTAACTCCACCCTGAAAAACAGGACAAATGGATAAAACAAACTCTGAACACAACTGCCAAGTCAGGTTTAAGTATCCCCACTTACATTACCTGTTCTTACCCTGCCATCTAGTGTGCAAAGGTAAGAATGACACCAAGGAGCAGAAAACAACCCTGATACCGATCTCTGCTGCCATCACGTGGATAAGCAACATCATTTCACTACAGCTATTTTATTTTAAGAACTCAGCCAATGCTGACATTCAAATATTGTGCTGCCCTCCGGAGGTTCAAGAGGGGTATTACTGCAGACAACATAACCGTAATAATGACAAGTACATTACATAATTATTGAGTGGTGGAAAATAGGGATTTGATGCACAATGTATGACGAGGTCGACATATATTTTGTCAAATATTTCAGTAAAATTGTTTTAGAACATCTAAAAATGCTGCTTATTTCAGTTTTATCCAGACAGATCTATTGAAAAACAGAACAGCATAGACTCCAGTGACACGCAATGAGTGCACGCAGGTAGGTCGACTTTTTTTTTTTTGGGTCAGAGCATTTGATTTATTGATTTCTGTCAGAACTTAAACAAATATAACAAAAAAAAGTTTCTAAAATACATTTCCCACTCTAGCTTTAATTTCAAGACATTAGTTGATTTCTGACTGCTGCAATGAATATTTTCAAAAGAACAACAAACAACAAAACATTCCCAGTTCCATCATTTTCAAAGGCCATTTTGATAGGTGTGTTTTGTCTCTGGAAAGATTTGCAATAGGAACGCAAACACAGAGTGTAGAAAAAGCTACGTGAATGCTTTCTCCTGAATTTATTAACATTTATGCCCGAAATTACATTTAATTTCATTGACCTGACATTCTATGATGGATAATTATGTATTTGCATCTTTACCAAAAAGTGTACTGTTCTTTCGTGCCTAATCTTTTTATTATTCTTTTTAGGAGAAAGCTATGGTTTACATTTTTCTATTCAAACAAAACAACATAAAGAACAGGTAACATATGTTTTTAGGTGTAGTTTAAGGGGCCAGTACTTAAAGTGCTTGTCAAGTAGCTTTAGGAACCCTCTCCCCACACTTTTCAGATGTCAGACCATTTCGGTAACTTTCTGAAACTGACAATCCGACTTTACCGACAATTTCATGTTGTGATTGGCCATGTGTTCAGAGGTGAGAAAGTAAGGTTGGACATTCTCTCTTTATCGCTCTGTTTAAATTCATTACAAAACTATTTGTGGCTTTTTGTGTTTACAACAGAGTGCAACATTTTAGATGTGCTCCCAGGACAGTCTGAAAACAGCATTTGAAAAGTGAGGGGGACACACAACAGAAGATCAATTGAACATGATTTCAATCAGGATTAAATGTCCCCACGCATCCTAAAGGACTGACCATAAATCACAAACAAAATCACCTCGAACTAACTTCAATCTAGCAGCATATTATCTCAGCCATTTGTTAGGAAGTTCCTGAAATGCGCATTAAAATTGCTTAAGAATCCTGAGAATCTAATGGACATTTACAAGGACAGTTTAGTTATGAATACATCTTTGAATTCAATCACTCACCTTTGTGTTCATTTAAATGTGCAATGTGTAATGTCTGGTAATCTTCTACTGAGTGCATACAACCAAAATTTACAGTCATCAGCTATTAAACAAAACAGCCATCTACTAACTAACACGAAGTGTGGCGTCGGCCTTAATTGTGTTTACTGTGGAACTTACTAGGGACTGTACAGTCTGTGTACATTTTGATAGTTTGCTTACTATTTATCCGAAGTGGCGGAAACGATTTTCGTTTTGGACTACTTTACCCGGAGGAGAGTGGTTGGCAGCTCCGGGACACAGACTTTCAGTTAGCAGCTGTGTAACAACTAGAATCCCCTCGAACCCATGAAAAAACAAACAAACAAACAAACAAACAAACACAAAAGAGCCCTGTCACTCACCTCAGGGTAGGACCACTCAGGGGAGTAGTCAGTGACCATGAAGAGCCGGCCTGTGGCCTGAAGCATCCCCAGAGCCCCCTGGGCTACAGCTGCAGAAACCACCTCTGCTACATTCATGTAGGACAATGAGCCTGGCTCTCCCGTGTTTCCCCCTGCTCCAGCCCCTCCACTCAGAGACTGGGGGCTGCAGCAGGGTTGAAGGCAGAGCTCTGATGGGCTGTAGCCAGAGCCCCTGGCCCCTCCATCGTCCTGGCCTTGCTGGGGAGCCCCACCCCCTGTGTTCTGATTATTGGAGCTGTGGGATGCGACTAGCTGGTGAGCATACAGAGCCCCTCCGGCTGACATGGTGGCTCCACTGCCATCCACCGAGATGAAGTCATTGATGAGGTCAGAGAACTGGTTCCCAAAAGAGATGTCGAAGTGATCCAGACTGATCTCCATGCCTGTCCCTCCTGCTCCCCCATTACTGGCCGCTCCTCCGAGGCCTTGGTGGGTTCCGACAGCGTTGTAGAGTCCCTGGACCATACTCGCGCCTTGGAGGAGAGGCGGCAGCTGCTGTTGCTGCTGGGAGCGGTTGCTGCCATCGCTGTTGTTGTTGCCGTTATGGATTGCTACTCCGTCCCCTGCACCTCCAGTCCCTCCTCCGCCACCATCCGAGGCCTGTTGCAGGTAGTGCTCTGCGCCCTCTCCATTTCCTGCCCCACAGGCCTGAATGTGGTCTACTGGCTTGAGTAGATTCTCAGCTCCATTCTCAGTGACTCCAGCCTGAGCTGAACTCACATTGCCTGGTTGCTCTAGACCCACCACCTCCTCATGCTCAGCGCCCATCCCAGGAAAGCCCCCCTGGTACTGTAGCAGCTGGAGAGAGCCAGCCTGGCCAGGCCCCTCTGTGGGTGAGCCTCCGTTACAGTTGGCCCTGTGCTGGGTCTGGTGGGCCTGGTGGTGATGGTGGAGGTGGCCGTTGCTGCCGGGGGAGTCCGTCTTCACCACTTGCAGCCCCATGTAACCTCCAGAATCATGGGAGTTGTGCTCCATCAAATGTGTTTTCTGGCCCATGCCGGGCCTCCCTTGCTGAGCTTGACCGGTCTGAGAAGAATCCTGTAGGAAGAAGCTGGGTGAGCGGTTCTGGTGTTGCATGTGAGGACTGGACATGGCCTGACCATAGCTCACTGTGGGGGCGCTGGAAGTATAGTCCTGCTTGGCATCTATAGCACTGAAATCCATCTGCTCCAGTGTGGTGCTGGGACTCAGACCCCCACCAGAAGGAAGTAGGGATCCTGCTGCTGTCAGAGTAAGGCTACCCTGGCCTGAACCAGCACCAGACGACACAGACACCCCGCTGCCACAGTTTACTACTGGCCCCACCTGGTAGCCACTCTCTTGGGCCAGCTGCTGCTCAAACGATGTGTCTTCTGTCTTGATGTTCTTCACCAAAGCTGAGTTGAAGATGTAGCCATTATCTGACATGGCGGGGGAGCGCTGCATTCTGCCGTTGGTGCAGCTGCTGCCACCGGAGGAGGATGATGTTGAGGAAGAGTTGCCCTCTGTCTTCATTGCACTGCCTCCATAGGTCTGGCCCTGTTTGGGGTTGTTCAGGAAGCAGTCAGGGTCAAAGTTCATATTGGTCTCTGGGATCTTGATGCTTCCAGCATCCAGACTGCTGGAGAGCACCAGTTCCTCAGACACCCCAGCTGAAGACAGCATGGACATACTGTCTCCTGCCACGGTAGTCCCAGGTTCCCCTACTCCTCCGCCGGGGAAGGCAAATTTGTGACGGTCAGAGGTCACAGATAGCACCATGGCCTGTGAGGTGGCATCTGCACCCATCAGGTGAGTGTTGGGACCCCCGGTAGGAGACATGCTGTAAACAGGGTCTCCAGTGACCTCAGACATAAAGACACTCTGGGACAGGCCAGACATGACAGAGGCCACGTGGCCCATCCCGGTCACCACGGGGCTGTCAGCCATGTCTGGGTCGCTGTTGAGGCCACTGCTGATGGACACAGGGGAGTTCTGCGTGGTGTCAGGGACCTCAACCTGGTTGGTGGACGACACTTCCGTGCTGTTCTGGTGAAGCAGGACAGGCTTGTGGACTTTGCCATTGCGTTTCTCCCTGGCACTTCCCCCTCCACCTCCTCCCCCAGAGCTTTTTCCTCCACCGTGGGCGCTGTGCTCGGTCTTCCCCTCCGACACATCATTGTTCTGTACCTCAGAGTGAGCAGTGCTGTAGCCTCCTGAGCGAGGGTCCACCTTCGGGGAGATGATGCGGTGTTTGGCGCTGTTGCATTTGTGGTGCACACTGCTCCCTGCACCTATATGAGGACAAACGGAGAAGAAGACGTTGGGGATTTGGATGGGTGATGGGGGTACAGAGCG